AGAGAGAGATCTTCCATCTGCTGATTTACTCCACAAATACCCACAACAGCTGGACCTAGGCTAGGCTGAAGCCATGAGCCAGGAACATCCGGGTCTCACACAGGAGTGACAGGAATCCAAGTACTTGAGCCATCACCTGCTGACTCCCAGGTTGTCCATTAGCAGGAGACACAGCAACTACATACTCCAATAAGGGACATGGGCATCCCAAGTAGCATTTTAAACCCACCCCTAAACACACTAATTTTAAAACAAAATACAGGCCAAATTAAACCTATGTGTGGCCAAAGTCAGTGTGTGGGTTAACCAAATCCCCACTCCTTTCTTTCTATCTCCACAATTTCTTTTTTTTTTTTTAACTGACTTACTTATTTGAAAAGCAGAGATGCAGAGGGAGAGGGAGAGGGAGAGAGAGAGAGAGAGAGGGCTCCCATCCATTGGTTCTCTCCCCAAATGGCCGCAATGGCCAGAGCTGGGCTAGGCTGAAGTCAGGAGCTTCTTCCAGGTCTCTCAGTGGGTGCAGAGGCCCAAGCACTTGGGCCATCCTCCACTGCTTCCCCAGGCACATCAGCAGGGAGCTGGATCAGAAGAGGAACAGCCGGAGCCCAAACCAGCACCCATATGGGATGCCAGCACTGTAGGTGGCAGCTTCACCCGCTGTGCCACAGTGTGGGCCCTTACATCTCCACAACCTTGATTCAGGCCTTCTCAACATTCCTCCCCTCATTTTATGCAGAGCACCCAAAATCCCCACCTCCCCCACGCCCACCCATCTACAAGCTGCCAAGGCAGCTTTGTAAATTCACATCTGATCCAGCTGAAAACGCGTCAGTGCCCCCTCAAAGCCTAGAGCTCTACAGTGAGCCCTAAACCTCCTGTGACATTTGCTCGGTGTGCAGACAGTAACGCTCTATCCCACCTAAACCTAAAAAGGCCCTAGGAACTGCAACGTCCTTCCCCGGCTGATCTCGACACCGATCATGGAAGGCAGAGGTACTGGTCTGTGGGGTAAAATGCAAGACAACCCACCCCTCTGACAGGCCCCACCTGCCCCGCAGTCCCATCCCTGCCACTCCACCCTATGCCTCCACTTTCCGGTCCCCAGGAAGCACACAGACCTCCATCTCTGCACTCACTGCCCTCTCCTCTTCACCTGGTGATAGCGGATCCACTCAGCCTTCGTCTTCCCCAAAGGAGCTCCGCCTTCACCTCCAAGCCCTCCGAAGCCCTTCTCAGCTCAAACCCACACCCGGGAGCTGCCTCCTATCCTCTCCCAACACCCAGCTCTTACCTAACTGCATCACTTAACTATTTTTAACCGTGTGGTTATACGTCCACATGCCACCAAACTGGGTTCTCTGAAGTCAGGAATTTCAGCTCAGCTAACTTTGCAGGCCCAGTGTTGTGCCCGACAGAGTGGACCCTCCATAAACACTTGCTGAATAAACAAAATCAAACTGTACGGGGGAGCAGGCAGGTACTGTAAGCAAACCAATGGATGGGAGTGCTCCATGTCTCTATTTTCTCTTCGTGTGTCTCTCTGCCTCTAAATAAAATTATTGAGTCATTAAAAAAAAAAAAAAACCTGGGGCCGGCGCTGTGGCGCAGCAGGTTAAGGCCCTGACCTGAAGCGCCAGCATCCCACACGGGCGCAGGATCAAGACCCAGCTGCTCCACTTGCTGTCCAGCTCTCTGCTATGGCCTGGGAAAGCAGTGGAGGATGGCCCAAGTCCTTGGACCCCTGCACCCTTGTGGGAGACCGGGTGGAAGCTCCTGGCTCCTGGCTTCAGGTCAGTGCAGCTCCCTTGTGGCCATCTGGGGAGTGAACCAGCGGATGGAAGACCTCTCCTTCTCTCTGCCTCTCCTCTCTCTGTGTAATTCTGACTTTCAAATAAATAAATAACTATAAGAACAAGTGAATTTCAAGGCCAAATTCTAGCTCTTTTTTTTTAAGATTTTATTTATTTGAGAGGTAAAATTACAGACAGTGAGAGGAAGGGACAGAGAAAGTTCTTCCTTCTGTTGGTTCACTCCCCAAATGGCCGCAACGGCCAGAGCTTCACCGATCTAAAGCCAGGAGCCAGGAGCCAGGAGCTTCGTCCTGGTCTCCCATGCGGGTGCAGGGTCCCAAGAACTGGGGCCATCTTCTACTGCTTTTCCAGGCCATAGAAAAGAGCAGGATTGGAAGAGGAGCAGCGGGACTGGAACTGGTGCCCATATGGGATGCCAGCGCCACAGGCGGAGGATTAACCTACTGCGCATGGCGCTGGCCCCAAATTCTGGCTCTTAAGAATTGCCATTAACACGCAGTTTCCCTTTAAGACCTCTTAATTGTAACTGTAATTTATTAGTAAATAAATTCCCAATTATTATGATTCCTGAAGTCAGGTTGTTCTTGTTGGCAACCAAGTTAATAAACTATATTAACAGCAGAGACCAAGTCTTGATGAAATCATACTCTTAAAAGCAAACAACCGATTTCCACAGAACATCTCTGAGGCAAAACGAAACAACGTGAAGCCAGTTGCTACACTGTCAAGTTTGCCTGAGCTAGATAGACAGGCACACCTCACCAGCCATTTCACCCTGAGTAAGTGGGGAAACCCCTCGACTGAGAGCTGTGTGCCTATCCTGACATCTTCACATCTGAAATACAAGCGCATCCTTGCAAGGCCCAGATGTTCAGCTCCTCCACCACACTCCCCAAATGCCTTGTATTCTTTATACTTTGATTCCATCAACATCTACTGGACACCCACTGCTCAGGACTCCAGGCTAGACCTTTGTCATCTGAGCAGGGAGGCGACAGCCCCCACCCAGCTCATATCCCTAGTGAGAAGCAGACTTCCTACTAATTATTCAACTGTTTAATCAAACAGCTGAATAAAACTGTATCAAGTAACACAATGCAGAAAACAAGCGCTAACAGAGCATGACACAGAATCCACCCCGTGCTTTCTTCTGTACAGGCAATCAATCTAAATCTTGATTTCTTACTACAGAAAGGTAACAACCACTCTACATAGGCACCCCTTATAACAGCGATTCCATGTGACTGTCAGGTTTCCAACTGCCCCTTTCAGATGTACCTCCAGGGAAAATAAGGAAATTAAACTAGTTCAAAAGTAATTTTTTAACCAGCTGCTTTTAAAGTATCAATTTTTCTCATCTGTTATAAAAGGTCACACCAGGGAATAAAGATCTCTGGAAAATTGAGTCTTTACCCATTTACACAGAAAATCTGTTTTAACCCCAAAAGCATTTGCAAAGCACTAACTATCTGGAGACTACTCGACAGGAACGCAAGGGCAGGAAGAAAAGACTTCTGTGCCCAAGTCACACTCCAGCAAAACTGGCCACACAGCTTCCTTTGGACACCTCTGGATTCCTATTTTTAATTAATGTAGTACTGGAGAAAGAATCCTGTACCTGAAAAATGTGTATATATAAATATATAAATATATATATAAATGTATTTTTTTTTTCAAGGATGCCTCATTGTGACTAAAACAACACCAACAAAGCATATTTTAGTGAACATTGGACACTTGCTAAATCGACCTTTGTTTTCCAGGATAGGAAATCTGCTGTCAGACACAGAAGCTGACTCAGACAGCACTAGAGGGAAAAGTCGGGAACAGAAACCCAACTGAGATCCCTGGAGACGGGACACCTGTCCAGTTGAAAACATACATGTAAGGCTGCTTCTAAGAAAAAGGAGGTTCCCTGCGACACTTAGGACAGAAACTATCAGCACCTACTGACAAACTCAGACTCTCCCATGGAAGACAATGTTTTATCTGTCAATATTTACAGTGCTGAACAGATAACAAAAAGGGGACAGAGCTGAAGCCAAAATGCCTTCAGCCCTGTTCTGAGTTAGAAGGCTCCAGAACTCGCAGCCACTCACAATTTTAAGGTACGGGTTAGACTATGACAGCACAAGACTTCTGGAAAGCAGAGGCTCCCCTGTGCGGCCCTCTAAGGCCCCAGTTAAACGACACCCGTGAGGCTTCTTCAGTTGCTCATTCATTCCGCCCGACATTCGCCGAGTAGCCAGTAGGAGCAGCGCTGTGCTCAGCCCATGGTGACCACACACGTCCAGGCGCCAGGACTCCATCCTAATGGAGAAACACTGCAGAAGCTGTTCCATGACTGACTCAGGGGGACACGGGGGCACGCAGGGAAGGCTTCTCAGAGGAGGCAACATTTAAGCCGGCATGCAAAGTCCAACAGAATCAAGGATGAAAGGTTCAAGCCCCTGCTTCTGGGGTGAGGGGTGGGGGCTGGATGCTGAGTGGCCACTCACTGACGAGGGGACAGTAAAGGGGAACCAGATTTGTTGGAAAGTTCACCGCCAGCCCTCACCGGCGGCCCCCGATGTCCCTGCCGGGCGCTTCCCAAACCCCGATCTCCATCTGCACGGTAGAAACTCAGCTCACGAACGTTAACCCAGGAGCTGCCTGCGGCTGCAAGGACTCGCCCAGGGCCGAAAGCCTTGGACGCCGAGTCGGCATCAGCAGGAAGCCCGCGCGCTCTCCACCACCCGGGTCCTCCCGTGCACACCGGCTTCACCGGCAGCCCCGCGCCGCGAGCCACTGCGGAGATGGACGCGGAGCGCAGGAGCGCGGGGGCCTCGGGCAGGCACTCGACCCCGCGGGCCCCAGCGGCCGAACGACCTCCGGGCTCTCTGAAGTTGTATGCAAGACAGGCAGGTGGGAAGTCCATTCAAACGAAGGCAATCAGTACACCACAGAGCTCCGCATCCTTTTCGCGGGACCCAAAAATAATCAAAGACGAGAGAATCCGCTCGCTCCCTTATCGCCCAGGGTGCCCCCTCCCCGACCTCGAGACCCCAGGACTCGCAGGACCCCCGGAGAAACGCCCGCCGGCCCGCCCGGAGCCACGCGGCGCAAGGTGACACGGACCGCGCCGGCCCCTCAGCCGCCTGGGCGAGGCCGGGGCGAGGAGGGAGAGGGGCGGCCGCCGGCCCTCGCTACCTTGTACTTATCAAAGCCAGCCAGCTGCTCCGGGCTCACGTATTCGTAACCAGCCATGACGACCCGAAAACCGAGCGCCCACTCGGCAGCGACTCTCCGCGACGAGGCGGTGAAACACGAGCACCACACCGGCCGCCAAGGCTGGGAAGCACTGGGCTGGCAAAGAAGGCAGGAGAGCCGCGCTCCGCCCACCGCGCACGCGTAGCCGCCACGGCCTCTTCCGCTGCCGGCCGGCGCGCAGGCGCAGCCCTCGCTCCTCCCCGCCCACCGAGGGAGGGCTCGTGCGGCCGGCTCCTCGGCGCCGTCGCAGTCCAATCGGCAGGGATCGGACAACTCTAAGTCCCGCCTCCCGGCTTTTCTCGTCGTTTCATTCGCCAGCGTCAAAATTGGTGAGCTGAGGTGAGGCACGAGCGGAAGCGAAAGGTCAATTTCCCAGTGGGCCTTGCTGCTTTTCCCGTGGGGGACAGGCTGGGTTTCTGGGGGTTATTAGCATCCGGGTGGGAAGTTTTGGGGGGTCCCCTACTAATCCTGGGGGTGGGGGCGAGTGCCTGCGAGCCAGGTCCGGAGCGCCCCGGGTAGGAGGGCTGAGTTCCCTCACCTGGGGTGATGTAAGCGCAGACCCGGGTCTGTTCGCCGCCGTCTTGCCGCTCCCGCAGCTCCGCCCTGGTTGTTTGCGGTGGGAGCCTGGCGAGCCTGGCTGGATGTGGCGAAGACTGAACGCCCGCCCTCGCAGGGGGAGGCTCCGTGCGGCAGGGCAAGGGGACGAGCCCCTCGGGTCCGCGGCGCCCCGTGCACCTTGCACCTCCTCGTCCCTGGCCCCGACTGAAACTGCTGCAGATAAAGGCGGTGGCTTGGGTCTCGACGGCTCCTTAAGTGCGTTTGCGGGAGGTGTTTTACGTCCCTGGAGCCCAGTTAACATCAGGGGCTACTGTGTATCTGATAATGATAAACTTGGTAACAGTTGCTGTTTCCAATTGAGCGCCTTCCACGCGGGGAACTTGACGTACATTGTCGCCATCCGTCGTGACAACACGATGCAGTGGAAGGCTCTCTGCCTACTTTGCAGATTTGGGGAATTAAAAATCAGATTACATAATCTGCACGGAGTCGCTCGCCGATACACAGCTCAGACCTGGCTAACAAAACACAAGATGAAGTCTGTTAGGGAAACCCACTATCCCAGGGAGCTTCCCACTCTCTGGCTCTAAAACAGCCCACCCCCCACCAGCCCCCACCTTGTTTTTAAGCAGTTTTTCTGTTTCTGTAATTTAGTGGTTTTTGTTCATTTGTATTTTGAAAGGTAAAGAGGCAGAGATCTTCGGTAAGTTAGTGATGATGCCATTACCCAGTCTAGTGGACAGGCAGAGTGGACAGTGAGAGAGAGAGACAGAGAGAGAAAGGTCTTCCTTTGCCGTTGGTTCACCCTCCAATGGCCGCCGCTGCAGCCGGCGCACCGCGCTGATCCTGGCAGGAGCCAGGAGCCAGGTGCTTTTCCTGGTCTCCCATGGGGTGCAGGGCCCAAGCACCTGGGCCATCCTCCACTGCACTCCCTGGCCATAGCAGAGAGCTGGCCTGGAAGAGGGGCAACCGGGACAGAATCCGGCGCCCCAACCGGGACTAGAACCCGGTGTGCCGGCGCCGCAAGGTGGAGGATTAGCCTATTGAGCCACGGCGCCGGCGAGGCAGAGATCTTCTATGATGCCCACAACGATCAGAGTTGGACCAGGCCAAAGCCAGGAGCCAGGGGTCCCTGGTGAGAGATCAGTTGGGAGTGCGGGAACCCAAGCACTGCCCTAGGGGATGTGGGGGTCCCCGTGTGGATGTGCCAAACGCTGGCCCCCTGAGATCTCTGCCATGTTCTTCCCTTCATTCACTCAACAGACACTTATTGGGGGCCCAACATGTGTGAAGCACGTTATCAGTTCTGGGATGTCTTACTCCCCTCCTAAAGTACAAGATCCTTATGATGTAATCGATATAATTCATCTATTATTCCTGGTGCATATTAGATAATCAATAAATTTGCATGTCCTTTCCCAGACTTGCTCTCAAGGGGAAAATTTGTATCTTAATACGTCTTAATTTTCTCATGTCCTATTGCCCAGTTGCTTGCAAATAATGCGTGGTCATTTCATTCCATTGAGTACGCATGAGCAAGGATCACGCTCTGCTGTGAAGTGTTGTTCTCCCTGACTTGAAAAGGAGACGGGCGGTAATGAAAGGAAAACTGGGACCCGGCATCCTCCAACCTAGGTGCTTGCTTTATGCAGGGACTGTGTTTAAATCAGTGCTGAACGCCAAGTGGACACACTTTTGTGCAGAGTGAGTACAGAGCTTTGGACAATGTATTAATCAGCCGATTTCCCCAGTAATGCCACTACCTATAAACAGCAGCAGCTTTCCCTGCTGCGTTTCCTCTAACCAATATAAATACAATAAAGAGACAAGAACTCCCATCTGATGACATTTAATGCAAGGTCTACACTTACCCATTTGAAATATGAACTTCATACTTGCAAAACAAATACATAAAATGTGACTGGCATACAAACTAATAATAATTCACAAAATATGCTTACCGGTAACACCTTGAGATGTAAGCAAATTCATCCTGTCAAATATGGTCTTGGAATTTCTTCCAAAGAGCAGCCTGAGTTCTGTGAGAGCAGTTGACATTTGCTGCTTCCCTGAAGAGGATACTGACAAGCTCCACTCCACTGTGAATCCAACTGAGAATTCTTGAACCGAAACACAACACACAACGCTGCTCTGTTGTTCTCTAATCTATCACTTACTGGCTCTGGGATCCCAAACAACATATTCCCTTAGCCCCAGTACTGCTGTGTTTAAAAAGGGCATTAGACTACATCTCTACGATCTTACTCATCTCTGAAACTCAGCGAAGCTCTTTCCTTTAACTTCTGTAGAGTAAGTCAACCCACCTGGAAAAAGACAACCATCCCTGTCCTTCCACACCCATCACAGCACAGAGCGTGCTGAAGGATATCAGTGAAGCCGGTTAAACAATCATCACATATCTTTTCCCCAGAGTTCCATGAATCCTAGCCCTGGCTGAGCCCCACCAGGCACTTTGACCTTGAAAAAGGAGATTGTCAAGTAAGTGACTCTGCCTCTGGAACGGAGGCTCCTCTCTGTTCCTGTTGCCTGGATTCTGTCCCGGAGGCTTTTATCTGAGGCCCCTCACAGCTGCAGGGGCTGCCTTCTTCCGGCCTGCCTGCTCCCATCTCTGCCTGTTTGTCCCTGTGCCCCATAATGCTGAGCATGGTTCATTGTTGCCCTGCTTCCCCGCCTCCTCACCTGCTGAAATTTCTCTCTTCCACGTCTCATACACTCACGATCGGGCATTTGGCCTTCCGGAATGATAATCACATAAAACAGCCAATTCATTCTAGAAACAATATTGTCATCTTTGTAATATAACCTATAAAAAGAAGTGTTTTAATCCTTGGAGTTCCTGTTTTGTTTAGTCTGAAGAGTATTTTAGAGCTAGTATTTTAGAGTAAATAGAGCTAGAAAATTGGCAGTTAAATGACTAATACAAGTAGTAATTCCAGTATAAGTTTTTGAAGCCATTCCTATGGAAAAGGTCTTCAGTTTATAAAGAGGCTTTGGATTTATTCTTCTTTTTTTATATATTTTTTATTTTTATTTTTGCCAGGCAGTTTGACAGTGTGAGAGACAGAGAGTTATAGACAGTGAGAGAGAGACATAGAGAAAGGTCTTCCTTCTGTTGGTTCATTCCCCTAATGGCCACCGTTGCACCGATCCAAAGCCAGGAGCCGGGTGATTCCTCCCGGTCTCCCATGCAGGTGCAGTGACCCAAGCACTTGAGCCATCCTCCACTGCTCTCCTGGGCCACAGCAGAGAGCTGGACTGGAAGAGGAGCAACTGGGACTAGTATCCGGCACCCCAACCGGGACTAGAACCTGGGGTACCAGCACCGCAGGCGGAGGATTAGCCAAGTGAGCCACGGCGCCGGGCTGGATTTATTCTTGTTTTCAAATAAAAACCATGCCTTATCTTCATAAGCTCTGTGTTTCTTAAAACAATTTAGCATCACTAGATCACCCTAACAACCCTGGGCCGTGGGCTGGGTGGATGGTTGTTCTAATTGTGCAGAATATAATAATAAAAGAGATATGTGTATATTTGCCCACAAGTCACCAAGTTTGTTCAGTGTAAAACAAATCCGAGTGCAGATCCAGGAGCTAATGTTGTGGCACAGCACGTTAAGCCACTGCTTGCGATGCTGGCGTCCAGTAGGGGAGTGCTAGTGGAGTCCCAGGTGTTCCACTTCCAGTCCAGCTCCTTGGCCTGGGAAAAGCAGGAAGTGATGGTTCAAGTATTGGGGGTCCTGTCACCCATGTGGGAAACCCTGATAATAGTTCATAGCTCTTGGCTTTCTGTGACCATTTGAGGAGCATTTCCCCCTCTGTGTCTGTCCCTCTGCTTTTTAAATAAAATAAACAAATACATCTTTTAAGAAAAATAGCACAGGGTCTAGTGTTGTGGTGTAGCAGGGAAAGCCACTACCTGCAGCTTCGGCACCCCACATGGGCACTGGTTGAAATCCTCACTGCTCCACTTCTGATCCAGCTCCCTGCTCATGGCCTAGGAAAGCAGCAAAAGATGCAGTGACAGCGTCCCATATGGCTTCAAGTCCCGGCTGCTCCACTTCCAATCCAGCTCTCTGCTATGTCCTGGAAAAGCAATGGAAGATGGCCCAAGTCCTTGAGCCCTGCACCTGTGTGGGAGATCCAGAGGGAGCTCCTTTGGATCAGAGCAATTTCAGCCATTGCTGCTATCTGGGGAGTGAACCAGTGGGTGGAAGACCTCTCTGTCCTGCCTCTCTGTAACTGCCTTTCAAATAAAATCTTTAAAAAAAAAAAAGATGGCCCAAGTGCTTGGGGCCTTGTGGGAGACCTGAATGAAACTCCTAGCTCTTGGCTTCAGTCTGACTCAGCCCTGGCCATTGTGGCCATTTGGAGAGTGAACCAGTGGATGGAAGATCCCCCTCTTTTTTTTCTGTCTCTCCCTCTTTCTCTGTAATGCTGACTTTCAAATAAGTAAATAAATCTTTAAAAAACAGCACAGATCTACCATACATTAGGGTGACGATAATTCACCATGGGTATTATATGCTACACAAAGACCTGAAAGAGGGGAGCTTACAGGCTCCAGA